CGTTTGATAGAAATCCCCTGGGAAGCAATCTGGCCTTGGCCTTTGGTGTCTTGGGAGGTTTTTGATGACTGCTTCAATTTCCTCCCTGGTTATTGGCCTGTTCAGGTTTTCTATTTCTTCCTGTTCCAGTTTTGGTAGTTTGTGGCTTTCCAGGAATGCGTCCATTTCTTCTAGATTGCCTAATTTATTGGTGTAGAGCTGTTCATAATATGTTTTTAAAATCGTTTGTATTTCCTTGGTGTTGGTAGTGATCTCTCTTTTCTCATTCATGATTTTATTAATTTGAGTCTTCTCTCTCTTCTTTTTAATAAGGTTGGCTAATGGTTTATCTATCTTATTAATTCTTTCAAAGAACCAACGCCTGCTTCTATTGCTCTGTTCCACAGTTCTTCTGGTCTCAATTTCGTTGAGTTCTGCTCGAATTTTAATTAACTCTCTTCCTCTGCTGGGTGTAGGATCTATTTGCTGTTTTTTCTCTAGCTCCTTTATGTGTAAGGTTAGCATTTGTATTTGAGTTCTTTCCAGTTTTTGAATGGATGCTTGTATTGTGATGTATTCCTCCTTAGGACTGCTTTTGCTGCATCCCAAAGATTTTGAATGGTTGTATCTTCATTCTCATTAGTTTCCATGAATCTTTTTAATTCTTCCTTAATTTCCTGGTTGACCCTTTTATCTTTTAGCAGGATGATCCTTAACCTCCACATGTTTGAGGTCCTTCCAAACTTCTTGTTGTGATTTAGTTCTAATTTCAAGGCATTAGGGTCTGAGAATATGCAGGGGACAATCCCAATCTTTTGGTATCGGTTCAGACCCGATTTGTGACCCAGTATGTGGTCTATTCTGGAGAAAGTTCCATGTGCACTTGAGAAGAATGTGTATTCAGTTGAGTTTGGATGTAAAGTTGTGTAGATATCTGTGAAATCCATCTGGTCCAGTGTATCATTTAAAGCTCTTGTTTCTTTGGAGATGTTGTGCTTAGAAGACCTATCGAGGGTAGAAAGAGCTAGACTGAAGTCACCAAGTATAAGTGTATTATTATCTAAGTATTTCTTCACTTTGGTTACTAGTTGGTTTAAATATTTGGCAGCTCTCACATTCGGGGCATATATATTGAGGATTGTTAAGTCGTCTTCTTGGATAGATCCTTGAAGTATGATATAGTGTCCCTCTTCATCTCTTACTACAGTCTTCGGGGTAAATTTTAGTTTATCTGATATAAGGATGGCTACCCCTGCTTTCTTTTGAGGACCATTTGAATGGTAAATGGTTCTCCAACCTTTTATTTTCAGGCTGTAGGTGTCCTTCTGTCTAAAATGAGTGTCTTGTAGACAGCAAATAGATGGGTCCTGCTTTTTTATCCAGTCTGAAACCCTGCGCCTTTTGATGGGGTCATTAAGCCCGTTCACGTTCAGAGTTACTATTGAAAGGTATGAGTTTATTGTCATCATGATATCTATTCAGTCCTTGTTTTTGTGGATTGTTCCACTGAACTTCTTCTTAAAGGGGAATTTTAAGAGTCCCCCTGAAAATTTCTTGCAGAGCTGGTTTGGTGGTCACATATTCTATCAGTTCCTGCCTGTCTTGGAAGCTCTTTATCTCTCCTTCCATTTTGAATGAGAGCTTTGCTGGATAAAGTATTCTTGGTTTCATGTTCTTCTCATTTAGGACCCTGAATATATCCTGCCAGCCCTTTCTGTCCTGCCAGGTCTATGTGGAGAGGTCTGCTGTTCCCCTAATACTCCTCCCCATAAAAGTCAGGGATTTCTTGTCTCTTGCTGCTTTAAGTATCTTCTCTTTATCTTTGGATTTGCAAGCTTCACTATTAAATGTCGAGGTGTTGAACGGTTTTTATTGATTTTAGGGGGAGGATCTCTCTATTTTCTATTTCCTGGATCTGAATGCCTGTTTCCCTTCCCAGATTAGGAAAGTTTTCAGATAGGTTTGTTCAAATACATATTCTGGCCCTCTGTCCCTTTCGGCGCCCTCCTGAACCCCAATTAAACGTAGGTTTTTCTTCCTCAGGCTGTCGTTTATTTCCCTCAATCTATCTTCATGGTCTTTTAATTGTCTCTTTTTTCGTCAGTTTCCCTCTTTGCCATCAACTTGTCTTCTATGTCACCCACTTGTTCTTCCATCTCATTAACCCTTGTCGTTAGGACTTCTAGTTTGGATTGCACCTCATTCAATTGATTTTTAATTTCTGCCTGATTGGATCTAAATTCTACAGTACTTGAAGTTTCTTGAGTCCTTTATGCTTTTTTTCTAGAGCCACCAGTAGGTGTATAATAGTGCTTCTGAATTGGCTTTCTGACACTGAATTGTAATCCAGATTTTGTAACTCTGTGGGAGAGAGGACTGTTTCTGATTCTTTCTTTTGAGGTGAGGTTTTCCTTCTAGTCATTTTGCTCAGTGCAGAGTGGCCAAAAACAAGTTGTATTGGGAAAAGGAGAGAAAGAAGGAAAGAAAAGAGAAAAAGAAAAAAGAAAAAAGGAAGAAAAAAGAGAAGAAAAAGAGAAAGAAAAAGAAAGGGAAAAAAGGGGTGGGGGAAGCAAACAAATCAAAAAGAAAAAAAAAAAAACACCGGGAGTATCTTCTGATTCTGTATACTTTAAGTCCCTTGACTTCCCCTGGAACTGGTCCGTCTAGCTGGTCTTCTGGGGGAGGGGCCTGCTGTGCTAATTTTCAGGTGTTAGCACTTGGGGGAGCTGCTCTGCCCCCTGCCTGGTGCAGGGCTCAGTGGGGGTTGTTTACCCCGTGAGGCCCCAGGAGGAACAGCCTCAGTTGTTACGGCAGCTCTGGAAACCTGGATTCAGCCTCCACAGGAACTACGGGGCTCTCCATCTGCAGGGCCTGGATGCTCCGGGGCGGGGCCGCTGATCTGCTCAGCTCCGGGCAGGAGCGTCCTTGCAGTCTGGTCCCTCCCGGCCTCTGCCAGTTCTGGGGGGAGGCCGGATCCTGGGCTGTGTCCCCGGCGCCCTGTGCTCCTGGGCCTGTGCTGTTGGATTCGCGCTCCTGGTGGCGCAGCCGGCTCTGTGGAGCCCCGGCCCGAGCCCCTCGAAGCTGCTCCCGGGTCCCTCCGTGCGCGCTGCAGCCCTTAGGGATCTTGGCGCACTCCCCTGGGGCGCAGGTGTCTGTTAGTGTCCCCAGGAGCCCGAGGGCATCCCCGCTCTCCTGGGTCCTGCTCCAACTCCCTGCGGGCCCCTTTCCCCCGGGAAGGTTGGTGCAGCTCCTGCTCCTCCGGGACGGGGCTCTCCTGTCCTGGGGACACTCGCCCCGGCCTCAGCCCGGCTCCTCGCGGGGCCCCTCCCCCTCGGAGGCCTTTTGTTTCTTTATTTCTTTTTCCCCGTTTTCTTACCTTGGTAGAAGCTGGACCTCTTCTCACTGTAGCGTTCCAGCTGTTCTCTCTTTAAATCTCAGGCCGAATTCGTAGATTTTCAGGATGATTTAAAGGTTATCTAGGTAATTTGGTGGGGACAGGTGATTTGGGGACCCTGCTCTTCCGCCATCTTGCCCCTCCTCCGCGATATTCCCACTTTTTTCTTCAAAAGATTCAGTGTTACCAAATACCTCTCGTTAATCAAATAGTAGCCAGATAATAGTAACATTAGACAGCTTTTTTAAAAAAAGATTTTATTTATTTATTCATGACAGACACAGACAACGAGAGACAGGCAAAAACACAGGCAGAGGGAAGCAGGCTCCATGCAGGGAGCCCAAAGTAAGACTCAGAGTCTCCAGGACCACCCCCCAGGCTGAAAGTGGCGCTAAACCGCTGGGCCACCGGGGCTGCCCTAGACAGCTTTTTGAACCTTAATTATTATGCACATACAGGAAAGTTAGGTTTGGATACAAATCTATAAATAAATTCTTCTGTTCACCATTAATTTATGTTTGTAATCTGTTAGTCAAGGGCAGCATCAATTAGCAATACAAAATATTTTGAAATTTCAGCTTAACTAAAGCATGCAGTTATGGATTTTTTGGTCCTGGGTTTTCTGGTTCTGGCTTTTATTATACCAGCTGAATTGAAGATGATATGCTGCATGACAATCAACAATATGTATGGAACATTGAGGTTATTTTAATTATCGCTGATTTCAGATATTTTTTAAAAGTATTACTGGATGTAAGTCCATGTTCAAATGGAAGCTGAGATCAGATAATTTAGAATATAACTAAAGAGATGAAAACAGGAATAAGAGATGTAATAAAATATAGGAAAATTAGTAATAGGTAATAAAAAAATCTCCTCTGTAAAATAAACGTTTTTCATTGGGTTTTACAAATAGGCCAAAATAAAATCAGAAAACATATCCATGTATAATTAGATTAGTTTTCTTTTATTGTCCACCTCTTTTAGATTTTAGTGTTTTTTTTTAAGCTTTTTTTAAAAGCTTCAGAATTTAGGAAAAAAATTCCTGGAGAAGATTTTATTACTTAATGAACTCTCTTTCATTTTGCTTACAGAAAAGATATGGAAATAAGGAGTTAACTTCAGATGAAATGGAAAAAAAACGTTCTCTTGAGAAGATAAATTGCAATACTAATGGGGAGAAAGGATAAGATTATGGTCATTCTAATGACAAATAATAGTAAAACCAGGGTACTATATTCTACAAAATAAGAAGGCAATTATATTCAGATTTACTTGAAATATGTACTCTCACATGAATAAGACAAAGCATCTTGCATAAAACTTTTGATAAGAATAAAAGAAAACTTAAGATCTCCAACCAGCATACGAAATGAGAGAGGGGGCATTTTTCTCATAATGTTAAGATGCTAATATGTGAAATTTCCTCAAACTTTTGATATGCTTTGAATGATGTGGTTGAGAAAATTTTTGTCATGTACTTGTTTTTAACATTTATTAGTCAGACTAAACTTGATATTGATAAGGTGTTTTTAATTCTTCACATTTGGATAAGTTTATATTTTATTAATACCTATTATTTTAACACTTTTGGACTTCTTTTAATTGTCTTCCTAAACTTCTTAAGGTATGATCCAAAAAATAATTCATGGTCAACTGTGGCACCTCTGAGTGTTCCTCGAGATGGTGTTGCTGTATGTTCCCTTGGAGACAAACTCTATGTGGTTGGAGGATATGATGGACATACTTATTTGAATACTGTTGAGTCATATGATGTACAGAACGATGAATGGAAAGAGGTACTGTTATTGAAAGTATTGAAATTAGTACATTTCAGGTTTTAATAAAAGTCCTTACAATATTTGTCCTGAATTAATTCCATTCTCTTCTTCTCTAGGGCCCAATATTTTAGTTAAGTTTGCAGTATTTTCATTATTTATACCATACTGAAGTACGAATTAGTTGATCTAATTTGTCATTGGCAGGATCCATCAGTACTTAGGGAACAGAACATTGTCCTGAATTTATGGACTCATTCCTTTCATAGTATAGTGAATCTGATTCAATAATGTAAATGTTTCTCTCTGGCCAACTTTCTAAGGATGTATTATGACTTGAGAACCAAAGAGCAATGTCCTTATCAACAAATATCTGCCCCTTCTTATTGGTTGTTGCCCCAGGGGAAATTTTTTCAGTCCCTTTTTTATAGAGATTTTTAAAATTGCAACACTCTAAATTCTTAACCAGTCACTCAAGGAATTTAGTGAACAATGATAGATGGGAATTAAACCCTCTCAAGAATGCTGGGCATCTAACAGAAGAAATTCTAAGTAGAGTACAAGAAGAAATTCTGCAAGGACATCCTAAAGATGCTAAAGGCAAAAGTGATGCTTTTGATATTTTTTCTAGTGGTAAATCTGGATTTATTCCAAAATATCTAATAGCGTTCTGTTAATTAAATGATAGCTCAATAAAAATAAAGTATGATTAACTCTTCATCATTTCCACAAACATGCAAACATTGTATTTTGTATCTAACTCCACCTTCCCTTATGATACTGAGAGCCTTCATACTGCTCTATATTCTACACAGTAAGTTGGTTACTGTTCTAAATAAATATGTTAATATGACAGCTGAAAATGGCTTTCTATCTCTTTCCTCCAACAATTTGATTCATTAAGACCCTTAGAAAAACTCAAATTCTGCCATGTATGTAGCTCCTTACTTTATCAATGCTTAGCACCAGCAAGAAATGGAAGAAAAAATTTTAGCCAACAAGGAGTTGTTAAGCCAAATACAAAAATCAAAAAGTCTAAGCTTGAGGAATTTACTTTTCTGAAAATCCAGACCAGTAGCTAAAAGACCTAGATTCTATTCCTGACTTTTCACTGTTTCATTGTGTGACTTTGGAAAGAGTTAAAGAGAACTAATAAATAGTAGAATTATAACCACTATCTGCCAAATTATTTTTATTCATTATCTCAGTTCATCCTAACAAAAATCTTGAAGGTTGAGTATTATTACCTGTAATTTTTCAAATGAGAAAATCATTGACCGAAATCATCTGTTTTTCAGACTCAGCTCTACATGATTTAAATAATATGTTCTTTCCACCACCCTGGACAATTATCCAGGCTGCATTTTCCATCTTTATACCAGGTGAAGGTTGGACCCGGATAGCCTTAGTTATTAAACTCCAACATGGTATATTATATATCTTATGCTGAAGATAGAGTTCATTAAGACAGTATTTCTTTCCTTGTTTTTGTTTTCTGTGTTAGGAAGTTCCCATCAACATTGGAAGAGCTGGTGCATGTGTTGTGGTGGTGAAGCTGCCATAAAGCTATATTTATCCATAGGAAGGAAACTGGTCATTTCAAGAAATGGATTAGGAAGAAGAAAAGAAGAAACACTTTTTCCCCTTCAATTATTAATCAAACATGAACATTGTTGTATCATTTTAATATGTAGTTATAATTGCTTTCATTTCTGAAGTCAAAGGAACTTTTCTTTTTTTTTTTTCAAAGCAAGTTTTCAAACATGAATTACATATACCTGTTAAATGTATGTGTTGTTGCAGCTGATATTGTAAGTGGAAATCCAATAGTCTAGGTTTAGCCTCATTATTAAAATGTTTAGGGTAAGTCAATAGTGACCAAGGCATGAAAGTTTGTAAAATCATTGGTAATTTTTAGGTTAAGAATATGAGAATTTAAAAACATTTTCTATTTCAAAAATCAAAAGGTACTCCATTTTCTGAAATACAGTATAAATGAGAACATCTCAAGCTTAAAACGTGAAGTCTAATTTTCAGTAAGACATCATTCTCTTATTCAAAAATATCACAAATAGCTAAATAATACCTCATATGTACCAACAGGAAGGCTTTTACTGGGTTAGGGCTAAAAAATAATTCATTTACATAATATGTTATGCTGATCATAGTATGTTAAAATTTTTACAGACTTACTCTTTTACACTGCCATCTTGCAAAGCACACATACAGATTTGGAATTCTTTAACATATTGGCTTATTGAATTTGTTACTTCATATATACAACCCATATAATAAAATAGTAAATATTTATCATATTGATACAAACTGTGACCTCAGATTCAGAGTGTCAGGGCCTCACTTGTATAAAAAGTAGTATTCTCAGGGCACCTGGGTGCTTCAGTTAAGCACCTGCCTTCAGCTCAAGTCATGATCCTGGAGTCCTGGGATCCAGCCCCTTGTGGGGCTACCTGCTCAGCAGGAAGCCTGTTTCTCCCACTCCCCCTGCCATGCTCTCTGTCTCTGTGTCAAATAAATAAATAAAATCATTAAAAAAAGAAAGTAGTATTCTCAAACATTTCTTTGAACTCTGGAGGAACCATCATTAAACAATTTTTAAAAACAAAACAATTGGTGCTACACTATATGCTGGCAAATTGAATTTATTTTTTTATAAATTTATTTTTTATTTGTGTTCAATTTGCCAACATAGAATAACACCCAGTGCTCATCCCATCAAGTGCCCACCTCAGTGCCTGTCACCCAGTCACCCCCCCCGCCCTCCTCCCCTTCCACCACCCCTAGTTAGTTTCCTAGAGATAGGAGTCTTTATGTTCTGTCTCCCTTTCTGATATTTCCCACACATTTCCTCTCCCTTCCCTTCTATTCCCTTTCACTATTTTTTATATTCCCCTAATGAATGAGACCATATAATGTTTGTCCTTCTCCGATTGACTTACTTCACTCAGCATAATACCCTCCAGTTCCATCCACGTCTAAGCAAATGGTGGGTATTTGTCGTTTCTAATGGCTGAGTAATATTCCATTGTATACATAGACCACATCTTCTTTATCCATTCATCTTTCGATGGGCACGGAGGCTCCTTCCACAGTTTGGCTATTGTGGACATTGCTGCTAGAAACATCGGGGTGCAGGTGTCCCGGCGTTTCATTGCATCTGTCTCTTTGGGGTAAATCCCCAGCAGTGCAATTGCTCGGTCGTAGGGCAGATCTACTTTCAACTCTTTGAGGAACCTCCACACAGTTTTCCAGAGTGGCTGCACCATTTCACATTCCCACCAACAGTGTAAGAGGGTTCCCTTTTCTCCGCATCCTCTCCAACATTTGTTGTTTCCTGCCTTGTTTCATTCTTTTGCATGTAGCTTTCCAGTTTTCCTAGCATCACTTGTTTTTTTTAATAATAAATATATTTTTTATTGGTGTTCAATTTGCCAACATACAGAATAACACCCAGTGCTCATCCCGTCAAGTGCCCACCTCAGTGCCCCTCACCCAGTCACCTCCACTCCCTGCCCTCCTCCCCTTCCACCACCCCTAGTTAGTTTCCCAGAGTTAGGAGTCTCTCATGTTCTGTCTCCCTTTCTGATATTTCCCACTCATTTTTCTCCTTTCCCCTTTATTCCCTTTCATTATTTTTTATATTCTCCAAATGAATGAGACCATATAATGTTTGTCCTTCTCCAATTGACTTATTTCACTCAGCATAATACCCTCCAGTTCCATCCGCATCGAAGCAAATGGTGGGTATTTGTCGTTTCTAATGGCTGAGTAATATTCCATTGTATACATAAACCACATCTTCTTTATCCATTCATCTTTCGATGGACACCGAGGCTCCTTCCACAGTTTGGCTATTGTGGACATTGCTGCTAGAAACATCAGGGTACAGGTGTCCCGGTGTTCCATTGGAAAATTGAATTTAAATAAAAAATGTAGGGATGCCTGGGTGGCTCAGTGGTTGAGTGCCCACCTTCAAGGCATGATCCTGGAGTCTGGGGATCGAGTCCTGCATCCAGCTCCCTGCATGGAGCCTGCTCCTCCTTCTGCCTGTGTCTCTGCTTCTCTTTCTCTCTCTCTGTCTCTCATGAATAAATAATTAAAATCTTTTTAAAAAATTTAAATGTAACAAAAACACAATTTTTTAAAGAACAGGAAAGTGAGAAGATGTTCTACAATATTAACACGTGGCAACACCAAAATGTTCAATATTCATGGTTGATTCTATAATTCTATTTTATGTAACTAATACATGGTTTCTGTTGATATTATATTCATCCAGAAGAAAGTGTTAAGGACATATGCACTACAATTTTTTTTTAATTTAAAGAAACAACAAAATAGCTAGTTCGGTAGTATTTTACCTTTAATTCCCTACTTCCGGGCAGCCTGGGTGGCTCAGTGGTTTAGCACCACCTTCAGCCCAGGGCATGATCCTTCAGACCCAGAATCGAGTCATGTCTGATCAGGCAAGCAGAAATTGAATAGTATCTTCTTGATGGTCCATTTGGTTTGCTTCATTTTGATCAGATTTTGATTAATATCACCCAGGGCTACTGTATTTGAAAATTGGGCTTAGGCCAATATGGCTTAGGTGGATTGCCAAAGTCTAAGTAAATCTGAGCATTTAGAATGGAAATATACAGAGGCTCAAGGCAATAAAACATAACTGTGCTAGCCTCAGTCAAACCTAGTTGGGAAAGGAGTTATATAGTAATCCCCTTGGTGCTTTGTTGTAGTAGAGATTATCTATCAGGCTGGTTTAAGCTAACAAGGATAAGAAATGGAGTTATTTTTATATATTTTCTCAACCAGTTGAAGGGCTGATGCATTTAGACACTGTACTCATATTGGAAAGACAATGTTAGCTTTTTAAATTTTTCTGTAATGACTATGACCTTGCTCAGGATCACCTACTCTGTGCACTCAGCCTGTATCATGATGACTTTCTAGACAACACCATCAGCTACTTTACCTGTATTTTCATAGGGCATGCAGGAAACATCTAAATACCACACAGGAGCTTAACGAGACTAAGACACTAAACTTGACTCCTTCCTTTGCTTATGTCATCCATCAACTTGACTCACATGTGGTTGGTGACTCATTTTGATGTGGAGGGAACACTGAAAAGAGGTCTCTGCCTAGAGTCCCAAATAGGGTATAAAAAAAATTCCTCTGATTTCAGATTTTCCCTTAAGCTCTCTAATAAGACTTGTACCCTGAAGTTGTAGTCCAGGAAAGGAAAGAAGACCATAAAACATATATCTCATCACCTGTTGTCATCCTGTCCTCTTCCTCTTACCATGGTCATCTGAGGGAGAGGGATAAGTTTTTCCAATTACTTTTCCTCTTGATAATGACCTCCTTTTGCATCATATTCCTCTTCCTCTTGCTGGAGACAGTAAACCCCAACCTGATGATGGAAAGAATATCTCCTCTCTTGTCCATGGAATATACACATGAACTTCCTATTATACCAACCTGGCTTTCTATATGTCAAAGGAAACTTTTTAAAAGTTATGATTTTTTTCCTTTCTTGACAATATTCATTTTTTAAGATTGTTGCCTACTACAGATTAGGGGGAAAAGCCTATTTTACAAGTGTAATATTGACATCCTCTTTTTTTTTGCATTCCTGTTACAATCCTAACACACATATGCACATAACATAAACAATGAGGGAAGGGGGCACATGTAACAAAATATGAAAAATCTCATACATGAGTAAATGTTAAAAGGTAAAAGCACATTACTAAAATGAAAATTAGTGTCTCACTATCACATTTATTAAGAATCTGTGCTTTAGATTCCAGTGGTATATATATAAATTAGGGTTAAGTTTACGAAATCTTTACCAGATCTAGGTCTATATACTTTATATTTTATTCCAAGTGGTGGAGAACAGGAGTTGTTTACCTCTCCTCTACTATGGCCAACTGAATTTCTAAGTTCTTGTTTCATCTAAATTCATGGAGACCCTTATACAAACGTCCCAGAGTCATATGCTAAATTTAGCACTGAGAGATTAAATCTTTGTTTCCAGGTCATAACTGATTAAACTTACCAGAATTGGAACACACAGAGGTTCTGGCCATCACAGAACAGCCAGTCTTATTTTAAAATATGCCTAAAAAGACAAAATCAGAAAGAGATCTTTGGGAAAAGTAATATAAGCAAAATGGTAACATAGGAATTTCTATGGCTTGTTCCTCCCCCTTCCCCTAACATCAATTTGAACAACTATCCATATGTGAAAATACCTTCACAAGAGCAAAGATTTGAGGTGAGTGATCACAGCACCTGGGTAAAGTACAGAAATAAGAAAAGGCACACTGAGAAGGGAGGGAAAGATAGATTCACATTATCATATGAGCCCTCCACCAAGCCCAGGCATTCCAAAATTGAGAGGAACAACTTACCCCATGGGACAAGGAGAATAATGTGAGCGTCCAATTTTACCATGGATACCAGAGTGGACCCACCCCAGTACCAGGCCAGCTCCTGCAGCTCTCGGTTTCTCCCCACAGGCTCTTGCAAACACAGGTCACTCATTTACCCTTACGCTTTTCGGCTCCAGTAGCTGCAGGCAATTCCAGTAGCCCGAAATGTTGTCTTTGGCATCAGGTTCTCAACAGGCTCCAGTGAACACAGACCCCAGCTCATCCCCATGCCTGCCTATTATTCTGGTGGCCTCAGACAGTTCACACAGCCCTAGAGAGCTTTCATAGGAGGACTCCTGGTGGGATCCCACAAACTGAGCACTGCTCACCTCTTCTCATATGCTAATTCCAGCAGCCCCAGGAGGATCCCTTGGCACCAGGCTCATCAGGGCTCCCAAGAACACAGGCCCCCATCTCACCCTAGTGCCTACTGGCTCTGACAGCTCCAAATGGTGTCCTTGGCACAAACTTCCTGGTGAGTTCCCATGAACACAGTTCCAGGATCACTTCAGCACCTTCCTATTCCATTGTCCCAAAGCATTTCACATGACAAGGCTTCCAACAGGCTACCACAAGTCCAGGTCTCTGACTTACTCTGGTTACTGTCTACTCTAGCAGCCACAAGTATTTTCCATGACTCCAGGTGTCTTATACTGCAGGGCTTCCAACAGGCTCTTGGTAACCCAGGCTCCTGTTGTACCCAGGATCCTGATAGCTCTGGTGAGCTTTGCTGGCTCCTGTAACACCTAGGCTCCCAGGGATCTCTGAGAAACCCAGATCCCAAACTCACCCCCAGCACCTACCAGCTCTGGTGAACTCAGATAGCTTTTGATTCACTAGGTGGTCTCTCTGACACCTGGATCCCAGCAGGACCCCAGAAATATAAGCCTCCAGATCATCCTGGCACCTGCTGCCACTGGTAGCCCCATGTAACTCCCATGGATCCAGGTGGCTTCTATTAACAGCAGGCTCCCAGCAGGTTCCCATGAAGCCAAGCTCCCATCTCACACTGGTGCCTTTTAGCTTCAGCAGCCACAGGCAACACAAA